TGCCGGATCTGGAGTATGCAGACGACATTGAAGGCCCAGTTAAGTTACTAGCTTTTCTAGACAGTTTGAGTGCGATTGTAGTCGTGTTTGACATGCCTTGTGCTCCTTCAAAGTGTAAAATATTACTACAGGACTGGATCAGTCCAGCCCCATACTTACTGTAACTGGGTTAGCAGTAGAGGCTGTAGATAGTCCGCTACTTGGGGAGTTACATCTCACCTGGCGGACACGTCACATATGAAGTGCCGGTACGTATAGAAACGCTCGATTGGCATTTACCAACTCAAGACGTCTATGGTGATGTCGCTACATCCAGTTGTCTCTTGAAGATCATGTGTATGATGCAGCAGTTCAGCCAGTTCCGCTATCCAGTGCAGAAAGTTGGTCATTACAAAAATAGGAGTAAGATAACCTGCCGGTGTTCAAACACTGCTGACAACCATGCCACAACATCGCTACCCAACTCGGAGTACAGGCGGCATTTCCGTGTTCCAATTCAACACTGCGCATACCCCATTCTAATGGAGCTTCATGTGAGCCACTACTCCATTTTCTAGGCCCAAGGTCATCAGGTATCAGGACTGAAAAGCAGGTGCATCGCTGTTCATCGTACAATGATGTGGATTAAAAATCCATAACCGATCAGACAGTGTAATATTATCGCTGATAGCATTGGAAAACTACACATTGGTCGTAATCAAACTTAAACTGGCTATCGTCGTATATCAGCATCTGGATAGATTTCAAATCAATCCGTCACACTGAAATAAGTGCCTAATTTTCACCCCTTTCTCTTTATCAGTCCAAATATCACATTGGTCATCATTAGCACCTCACTCACCTGGGCATACTTGCTGCCGGTGTACCCGGTCGAGCGAAGAACTGGTTGATATAAAGCACGGGGAATCGATACCGTTCGATCAGTTGTACGGTGCCCTCAAAATCCTCATCCGTCTCGTTGGGAAAACCGCAAATAATATCTGTCGCGATGGTCAGACTGCCGGATCCGTTCACTGTACTCGCCGGTGTTTCTGGCACACTGGTAGTAGAAAGGAGGATACAAACGGCTCGTGCAGATCGGCAAATAGACATACAGGGAGGACACTTTAAAACAAAAAAAAACACGATGTCCAACAAAACCAAAGAATAGACTTACAGTGGTGGTGCCGGAATTCTGGGCAAAAGAAAGTCGACCACGTGAGCAAATTCGTCCACCGTGTATTCCCGTTTCATGGCATCAAGCACAGCATCAGAACCTGTAAGGTTAGAAGTCAGATCAGGTGGAGAAAAGGGCAGTGTACTGGTCATGTTTTAAGCGAAGCAGGATAGAAGAGTGCACATATCGAGGGAATGTTTGTTTCGGTTATGGAACAGACGGTCTACAAACAGTAATCACATGGATGATACCCAATCGTTCAGTATCACACTTGTAGACGAGGGTAAACGAAAATTTACAGAGTATTGAATTACTGAACGGCATACTTGTTCTCTTTCCTACAGACACAAATAGGATACAGACACCAGTCCCAGGTTGCGGATCGCAGAGTCAACACTTCGGTCTTAGTTTAAATAAACAATTGAATTTACTTTGTTTTCAGATACCATCTTCCGCCGACCCAACTGATGCGCCAATGCCGAGTGTGACCAGGATGCAGATGAAGAATGTGACAA